TTGTCTTGTATGGTTCGACGCACGAACCGAAGCGGCTCTCTCATGCATTATGGTGTTGTTAGCTTATCATCTTAACAACCGTTTTCATTTTGCCCGAATTGTCGGTTTTCCAGTTTTACTAGACGAGTTGTCATGGCAATTTGAAAGAACCGTAATTCTATTGTATAGATATGACCCCTTTTCCGGGATGTCACCCGTGTGTTCATTTATAATCTCTGTCGTTTCGCCACTGGAATTGGATAAATTGGATAATATTTGCGGCCCTTTGAGTTGAGCAACAAATGTACAACAAATGTCTGCAATTCACTGATTTGCAATAATTTATTTAAAATTATCAACACGAGGGCGATCCATCAAATTTGTACTTCGCTTCCCACCCGAATTGAATAGCAGTTTTATTTTCTTCCTGGTGACGTTCAGAATCGGTCTCACTCACTCTGCGACTACGTAACTATTGAATAACCAACACTGGGGCTTCGTATTTTACTCACCAGGTTAAAACTGTGTGCCATTTTGATGGCGCAGTGGTTTGGTTGATGTCACCACTGTGTGGTTCGAGGTTCGAGCCCCGCCACCGCAACCGAGACCAGAGTGGTCAATCTGCTATTCTCGACTCGCTCGGTGTCACTCGCCCGTGCTTCCTGTTTCAGCAGGATTCGGAGCCCTCCACCATTTTCTTTATTTCAAGTCCTGTATTACCACGGTATATTCTCAGCTGTTGGGACACTGTTCACATCTTTCCAGTCTCCAAATGAAATGCACCCTGTAATCTGAACGATTATTGTGATTATAGAACCATTGATCGCTAAACAACTTCATTGTCACTCAGCGTTCGGCTTAATTTTCACTGACCTCTTATATGGCTTCCGCTGCCACAGATTCACTGTTCAGCTGTTGGCATACAAGTTTCACATTTACCTCCCCCCCGGCGCCACTGACCACCATAGTGAGTACCATCCAGTCTCCTTCCCAAGGTGTTCGGACCTTGAATATGTTTCGTCACTTGATTAGGAGTTGATCACCTGTGGCCATTTCGTAGACGGAATCACTTCTAAATCAATCCCTCCTCCAGGAAATAGCACTGTAAGTAGTGTACCACGAAATCGATGGCACATTCTAAAGCCTTGTCAATCGCCCAATCTGGGAGTCTTTTATGCAGATAAGCTTGTCTGGCGCGTACAATGGAGTCCTTAGGGATCGATATTTGCTGCATGCCGGAGACTCGAATCCAAGATCCTGCTACTATAAGCCACTCGTCGAGATATGTTCTTCGCACATCAAGCGACAACAAAGCTGATTCAGTATGCCAGCGCGGGGTAGTTTTTTATTCAGCAACAGGGCAGAGTCCTCTCTTGTCGATTGGATCCCCATCAACAGTCGTTTATGTGTAGTGCATCTCCAGGGTTCAATCAGCGTCCGGAACGGAAACAACACCAAAAGGTGTTTGTTCATTGTATCGGCATACGCATCGACCAATGGCAGTTCTGATACACAAAAGGACACTTTCTACTATGAGCTCACCGATCTCATGCGGCTGAATCAAAGCTCCGACATAGTTGTACTTGCAGATGACTTTAACGCTCAAGTTGGAAAACTGAGCGCAGCAGAAGCTTGCCTAGGTGGTCGTTGTGCTCTGCCCTGCCAACGAACAGATAACGGTGATTGACTTCTTCAGTTCTGCGCGGATCGTCATCTGTTCCTATCTAGCACCAACTTCCGACACAGCTTTCAACGGACGACAACGTGGCGCTCCAGTTCAACTGGAACACTTACTCAATTCGACCGAGTAGCAGTAAGCTACCGTTGGCGTGGCTCAGTGAAAAATTGCAGGTCTGATGATACCACCTGTGTCGAGTCTGACCACGCATTACTTTTGATGCAATTCACTCTCCGACTGACTGACTGGCGGCAAAACCAGCTAACTCGTATAGCTCATCATCAGTTATCTGTTCCAACAGTTCGTGCACCCTATGAATCAGAGCTAGTACGTGAGCTAAGTGCTCTTCAACGTGATGATATAGACGAGCACTGGGGACAGATCAGGTGAGCAATGCATTCCGCAGCGAATGTTGCTTGTGGGTCTGAGCCTCAAACCTGGCAGAGTCATTAGATATCTCATGAGTTAGTAGCCCTGATGGATAAAAAACGACAAATCCCGACCTGCCAGGATCAAACAGGATAAGGTGGCATCTGCAAGGTCAGCTCACGAAGGGCGTCAAGAAGAACTGTGAGAACTGGTGGGCAACAATCACTAGTGAAATGGAAGTAACAGCTGCATCAGAGACTGTTCCAACTAATATGCAATACGGGAGGTGGGCGAACTTCAGTTAGTGAAACAGTCTGCGATAGGAGGGGACAAGCTATTCACAATAGGGATCAACGACTTGATCGCTCGACAGAATGCTTCAGCAGACTCGTATCTATTCAGGTTTGGGAAGGAGACTTGCACTTATTTACCGTTTGCCAAATGTGCGATTTGTTTTTACTGTCGTTAAAGCAGGAGTTACCTTCAACCTATTCAAAACTTGCATGTAACTCACAGTTACTTGTGAATAGTGGCGTGGGATAGTTGATATTGANATATTGATTCGGATTTCATCTCCGTGCACAATCCTCGGTTAATCCAGTCCAACACACTGGGAAGCATTAGACTCGAGTTTCGCTCTTAGTAGAGCTCATCAGTGATGGATATCCAACGTCCCGTTCGGGATTTGGATGAACATGAGAAAGATAGGAAAGGTTGGAGGTAGGATCGAAGAGAAAATTTGGGATTTCATCGCACTAATTTTGCAGAGAAATCGACAAAATGGACGAACGCCGCTGTCCACGACACCCAGCTCTAACCATCGAGTATGATCATCCCGAGGTCCCCATCCAGGGAGCCTAACGGGACCTATGTAACCCAAACTCCTGGTTAAGGTTTTCATACCCTCATTCCAGGTCTAAGCTTGACCACCCTTGACTTTCTTCCACCCACTAAATGCCTCGGCGAACATCGCTCGCCGTGGCAACCTATTTGGTGACATGCGCAACACATGCCCCGACCAAGGCAATCTATGGAGGTCGACTACCTGCTCCAGTGCGGCCGCGGATACCCAAAACTCTGCGTCCAACCTCAGCATTGCTCGTCCGGCTGCCTCACCAGATTTGTGCAATGCTGCGTAAACAGTGGTGTTCAAACACCGACCGCTTTTCTTTGTCCTGTTTCCTCAATGGCCAAGTTTCTGCGCCGTATAGCAGAACTGATCGAACCACCGCAGCATACACCCGACCCTTCACAGACAGCCGGATGTCGCGATCGGGCACGCCTTTCAAAGAAAGGGAGCGCCAGAGTTTAGAGCGGTCGACTGAGTCGAAAGCCGCTTTCACATCCAGGAAGCCAAAGATGATGGGTCTACGAAAAGAATGTCGGTGCTCCAGAATTTGGCGACGAGTGAAGATGTGGTCGATATAACCTCGACCAGGTTGTCACACGTGCACCGTTCACGTGCCGCAGACAATCGACGGAGTATGATCCCAGCGAGAAGTTTAGAGACGATATTGATTAAACTAATTCCTCTGTGGTTTTCACAAGAGGATCTGTCACCTTTCTTGTAAATCGGTANATTATTTCCCGGGAAACCACCATTTCAGATGGAGGACTGGCATCAACTGGGAGTATTTGTCCTGTCGAGGTGGACGGTGATAGTTCAGATGTCGATGGGGGCCAGTTGAACTGAGCCTTGAAGTGTTTAGCCTAACGGTCAAGACGGCGTTGCTGATCGTGAATCAGTGTGCCATCGGATTATTTAATTACCTCAATTACGCCTATTTTTCTGGGACCCGTAATCCTAATTAGACGGAAAAGATTGCGACTATTACTAATAGTCGCAGCCCTTTCCATTCCTCCACACTTTCCTGCCCACCACTTCTCGCGGTCATTCCTCAGACTCTTGATGAGCTGGCGTTTGAGGGA